ATGAGGGCTATATAACATAATATCGTGCATTCGATCTTTTATTAATTATAAAATTTTTAAATTAACAAACATAACCCACAGGCCACAGATTGAGGATTTAACATATGTTGAATTTCATTTTATATATATATAATATATATAATATGTACAATATACATATCATTATATTTAGGATAAAATTACACTGTAATGTACCCATATAGGACTTATGGGTACCTTACAGTATGTAAAAAAAGCTCAACTTTTCCACCTAGAACATTTTGAGTAAGTAGGTACCTACATAAAAAAATCAAGAATACAATAAACATAATTAGAACACTTGACATCTAACATCCAAAATGAATAAAACAGTAAATTTATTATAAAATATTTGAAATACAAATATAATATATGTATATATATAGATTATAGGTAGGTATATTTTATTAAAAATGACAAATATGTAGGTAATAATTTACCTTACGCTCGATACTTATAGCAGATTTCCTAGATGATGGTTCAAAATAGCGACGAAATTCGTCGATTGGTGAATTTTCGAGTACTTTGGTTAACCTGAATTTTTTAACGAATGCTTTTTTAGTCAAACCTACAATGAAAACTATAATATTATTTATCCGTATCTTATCTGTTAATGTAGGTAATTAATTGATTATTAATAAAATTAAAATAACAATATATATTATTGGACAACAAAAGGATCCTCATTCCTCAGATACATTAAATCGAACTACATCTTGCCTTTCTTCAACAATTTATAAATTGTTTACAGCTTGGAGGTAATTTAAGTTAACCAAGTGTTCCATATTATTAAAATGTTTATTTAGTAATTATTATAAAAATATATAATACGTTAAAATTACCACGATTTCACAAATAAATGGTTTATCTTAAAGTACCTAGGTACCTACTAATATGTTTGCATTGTTTTCACACAAAAAAAAAATGCAATTATGTTTTTTTATATGCTAAAACACGATTAGTGTGATAGATACCCACTCTAATAAGTTTATCTAAAATTTTAGTGTGCCTCCGTTCAAAAATACGGTTTTTTGCTCTTGCACTGATACTATAGTTGAACTAAAACATGATATTTTAGTGTACTAATACGATTGGCATGTGACATTCAAAAATAGACCACCAGTATTTCAATACTGCGTTGAGTAACGTTCTGTATGAATATATATTATCTTAAATCGTAGACTAACCTTAAACTTAACCGGCCGGGCCATAGCGCGTTTAGTATTCTTTCATATTTATCCACGGTCTAAGAATCTTCGTATGCTTATGCTTATATCTATAGTGTGAGTATCTATAATAATAACAAACTTACAAGATCCTTGGCCCACGAGTCATTAACAAATTATGAATCGATTCTCCCTGCCCCCTGGGATAGCTGTTCAAAATTTAAAAAATATAGGTAGATACAAAAATGAACTCAAGTTAAATAAATTAAATATACATTGGTACTATATTAGTATTGATTAAATATACTGTACTAAATATATTGTATAGTGTATCGATGCTATTTGTATAATATAATCTAATATTTTATTAAGAATTGAGCTCATTCGTTTACCCGAAATGTGGGTTTAAATCGCCGCCTAACGCTGACGTTTTACTAAAACACAACGCAGAAATCAAGTAAATCAATTAATTTATACAACAGGTTATTGTAGGTACCTACTACCTATAAGGTAATTTGTTACCACAGAATTTATTATATCATCTTTAAGTACACTACTATTTTTCTATACTCTTTTCAGAATAAGAAGGAACCAGACGGCCACGGACAAAACCGGTTTTGTTACGTAAATCGGGTGCGTTCTTATTCTGAAAATAGTATAGTCTATGTGACAGTTGTATACACTGTCTCCTACTATTACTATTATTATTATTCTTGTTTTATTGAATTATATTTTAGGTTAATACTAGCTCTAAGTGTAACTCGGGGCTCGTTGGACTCACTGGGAGTGGGTACCGATTTTGGAGACAATGAATTATCAAAGTCCCAAATGGTGTAAGACGAAAATTTAGAATTTGTGATAAGGATTAGTGATATGGATTGGAGATAAGGCTAGACGCTTTGGCGGGAATGTTCAAAGTTTGAGCGTCTAGCAATCCATCACAAACTTTGTAAATCGGATAGGCTGGATACGATCTCCAGGATCACCTATATACTATATAGAGTATACCTGCACATAGCGTGGTATGTGCCGTAGCATGACCGGTGCTTTATCTTATGTAAAAAAAGTTAAGTCGAAAACCGTGTTGGAGTTTCTAGCAAGTCAGTCATCTCAAGACAAAATCTATTAACTTTAAAGTTAGCCACTTAGGTAGGCAATCCGACAACGTGCTACAAAAAATCAGGTAGGCAATCCACCTGCGGTGGATTGCAGACCTGACGTCAAGCGGCTATAAGTAAAAACCCTATCACACAACTTACGAAATAATTTACGAAAAATTCAAACTATATACAATATACATACAAACAAATATGATATGTATTTATTGTGTGATATAATATAACAATGAACACTTTGAGAAATGTGCAATTATAATTCCTAAAAAAAATTAACATATAGGTAGATAGTTAGATACATACTATTATATTAGCCAATACAATACATATAAACATTACCTATAATGTATATATATTAATTTAAAAAAAAAAAATGCAAAAACCTGCATGTTAAACTGTTAAAGTGTCTGTCAAGTCAATCATCACCGTTTAAGACGAAACTAAAATGAGCAATCCGTCTATCACCTATATATAGTAGATATATCACATAGAGTGGTATATGGCTTCGCATGTCCGGTGCCATTCCTTATGTAAAAAGTGTAAAGTCGACAACCGTGTTTTAGTGTCTAGCAAGTCAGTCATCTCAAGTCAAAATCGATTAACTTTCAATTTAGCCACCTAGGTAGGCAATCCGAAATAAAATACAAACTATATTTATATAACAATCATCGACGTTTTGAAAAAATATGCAATTATAATAATTCCTAACAAAACAAATATAATATGTACCTATTTATTGTGTGATATAATATGATAATGACTTTAAATAATAATAATGTACGATATGTTCCTGTATTATTATATTATTATTTAATTTATATGAAAAATAACGTGAAAAAAAAATGCAAAAAAAGTCAGGTTCCGGGCGGCCGTGTAGACCTTATGGCAATGTCGGATTCGACGTTCGGGCAGCGTACGACGGATTCGAACCCGGGACCTACGTGTTTCCTACCCAACGCCTAACCTACTTGGACACAGTTTGAGATGTGAACATCAACACTTAAGCCGTGCGTCTACGGAGCGACGTAAACCGATATATTCGATGTACATCGATGTAATCGCATATAATTCGCTTGCAATACGAGCATCTCCCATATACATATTTAACGGGGCGTGTGAAAACCGTTTTCCGTTAATAATTATTACATCATAGGGAAAAATTAAATTATACACTTATATATATATATTATTATCCAAAACCATAGTCTATCTTCTGTACAAAATAACTTTTTAAGATACCTATCATATAAATACCATTATATAAGAACTCCTCATTCTGGATATGAAACCATTTGTAATCTCTTTAAAATAATGCCCCTAAATAAAAGATTTATTATCTTAAACTGTACATTTTTATATAAATTATTACATTATATTATAGATTGTCCCGAAATAATCGAACGTTTAAATTTTAGAGTAAACCAATCTAATTCCAGAAATAATTCCACTTTTTATCTTTCCTCTTTCTCTTCAAACTATATGCTATATACCCCTGCAAATATACTTATGTCAGCAGCTAATTCAACTAAAGACTTAGATTTATTTAACACTACCTTATTTAATTTGTCTAATATTTGATCTAATCTTCTCTTATCCTCTTCTATTTCTCTGCTTTCTATATCATATTTTCCCCCTTTTTATTTCTTCTACCTACATTTATAACCACTATACTCTCAATATAATTATTTATTCATATTATGCTGCTTTTATATAATATCTTCAAATTTAAATCGTTATTTAATATTTAATATTTGTATACATATACTTTTTTTTCTTTTTTCATTTGTTCTTTTCTCTATTTTGTTCTGTTTTATGTTATTTGTAATCACATTACTTTTAAGTTGTAACCCATATTATGTGCACTTAACACAAACTGTCACTACAATATTTTTGTAATTGGAATTTATTTCTGTAAATAAATTATTATTATTATTATTATATACGCGTACAGTAGGTCGGTCGCCGGCGTAATTTCTAAACGCGATTGCGAGGCGAACGAACCGATTTCGGGGGAAAAGCCCATATAAACGGCTTTAAAAAGACGTGGACTACACGATTCGGGCACAAACGGCGTGCGAATAGACGAAATGGTGGGAGAAAAGGAAAAAATCGGCAATAAAGTCCGGTCGGGAGTGTATTTTTCGATCGACATTTCGACCGCTTCGAACGGCGCACGAATATAAACCGCACACCGGCGGCTTCGAATTAAGTATAAAAAAGGACGGAAAGGGTCGAAATCGTGTAAAAACAGCTAATTTTCCGAAAATTTCAAAAATCAGCGAAATGATAGGAAAAGAGGTGATAACGAAAAACGTTTTAAAACCGACTGCCGCCGCTGCGAAGGTACGCGATTGGTAGCGCTATAATGAATCGACGGGACATGGCCGGCGGGCTGGGGAAACGGAGCGGTGTTTCATTTTTTACGCCACGGTTTCACTATAGCCTGCGTTTTCCTTTCCAGTGGTACACTATAGACAGCTGATTTAATTGTCATTTTATAGTATAGGATTTTAAGGATTTTAGGTTAATTATTAACTGTTGTTTTTCTCAATAAATAATCTTATGTCACATTGTCACGTTTTTCCTCTCATAGTCTCATGTCTTTGTACTTGTGTACTTTTATAATTTAAATAAAATTATGAACCTCGTTTGATATCTATAATTTTTAATTTACGCAGGACGTCGAGAGAATAAATTATTTATGGAGTTCAACAAACCAGACCCACTGAAGATGACGGGTAACTTGGCTGAAAATTTTCGAAATTTCAGAAATCAACTACAAATGTATTTTAATGCAACTGAATGTCATTCAAAAGAGGAAGCTACGCAAGTGGCAATATTATTAGACCTTTTGTGGTCGGATTGTTTAAAAATTTACAACACTCTCAAAATTCCCAGTATAACTGTATTTGAAATTTTGAAAGCGTTGGAGGCTTATTGCATACCGCCAAGACGTAATGAAACTATGCAACAATACAAATTTTTTACACGGAAACAACTCGATGGTGAGCCATTTAATAAGTATTATGCGGATCTTCGAGAATTGGTTAAGTCATGTGAGCTTAATACCTGTGACAAATTATTCAAAATTCAAATCATTCTGGGAATATCTGATAAAGAATTACAAGCAAGGTTATTGCGAGACGAATTAACTTTAGAAAAAACTGTTAAGCACTGTCAAATAGTGGAAGAGTCTAAAGTCAATCGTAAACTTATCCAGGAAAACACAAAAAAACTTCTCAACATTGAGGCAGAGCAACATAAGGGGTCAAATCAGTATAGCAGAGGAGTCAAGTCTAATTTTCGAAAACCAACTCAACATAAGCAGTCAAATGGAAAAGGTGATGGAAAGGTAATCACTGTAATTGTAAAGCAAGGGCTCAGTCCTATTTTAAAGAAAAAAATATAAAATGTATTAATGATTGTTCAAGGTGTGGTAGGTCATATAAAGTGAATGATTGTCCTGCGTATGGTAAAATATGTAATCAATGTGTTTTAAAAAATCATTTTAGAAATAAATGCAGAAAAAGAGAAATAAGTATATTTGTATAATTTGTATTAATTCTGTATTAATTCCAATTGGAAAGAAAATTGTGGCTGTATTTACCTGTTCTTAAAGAGCCCTAGTGAAAGCAATGTAACAATTAAATCATTTGGAGGGTACATAACTAAATCTAAAGGCTGAGTGACATTAGAGTTAGAAAATAATAATATAAAGTTATATAGGCTGTTTGAGGTTGTAGAATAGGAGGGACTACCGTTATTAAGCTATGAAGCTTGTATGAGTATGCAGTATAAAATGCCAGAAATTAGTGTCATAAACTCTTTGACTACTAATAATCAAATGAAAGAATTTATAGAGAAAAATATTGATGTATTTGAAGGGATTGGTAAATTTCCAGATAAAGTTCAAATTAAACTAACTGATAGACTTACCAAATGTTATGTTTGTGCTTATTTATGCAAAACATGACAAGGTGAGCGGCAATCATCAAAACGACTATAGGCGAGTACGATCTAATTAAGACTGTTTATTTTCCAAGACGGCTATCGCGCTGTGCGTCGATACCGATTACATAATAATATATTAATAATTATAATGATATAATAATAAGATAATTGTACACATAGTAAATAAATAATTATATAATACTTACTTACTGAAGTAATGTCACGTTTTATCTTCTAACATAGTCTCATGTCTTTGTACTTGTGTACTTTTATAATTTAAATAAAATACAACTAAAACAGTCTGTGCTTCTACATTCTTACACATTTTATG